GGGTCAGCTCTGAAAGGGCCTGCTTTCAGGGACATATGGAGTTCATATCGGGAGGGCCTGTGGGGTTTCTAGCCAATCCTCTTCAATCACAGGCGAGGAAACTGAAGCCCAGACCAAGGGAATGATTGGTCCGGGACTGAGCCGACTTCTCTTCTTTTCACCTTGGGTCTCACAGTTACTTCTTCAAAGGAACTAGCTGACATTTCCCGCTCCAGCTGGCAGGTTTTGCAACAGCGCCTCCCTGACACCGTTTTGACACCGTGTGGAGGCCCTGGCTGCATAAGGGTTCATCCCCTATCTTGAGCAGCTGCTTCAGGTCGTTCTCCAGCAATCCTCTTACCAGATTCTCATCCTCCTGGACCACTGCACAGCTCTCTTCATCCCCCTCTGGTCAGAACCCAGCAACTGCGGGCAGCTCCTAGTCACTGAACCACAGAATAACTGGCAAGACCTAGACCCCAGGGAGCCTGGGCAACCTTGCTAGCCCCATCCTGCCTGCTCTCCGTCAGCCCTCTCCTACAATTCCAAATTGGTGGGACCTTGTCCTCAGGTGTGCCCCCGGAGTTGGCCTGCATTATGACACTGTGTCTCCTTTCCTTTGGCAACCATGAGTAAAATAAACCTTGTTACTTTTCCTGGCTCCAACTTAAGAACAATTAGTCCTTACGGCATGGGCCTGCTGGATACTCATCCTCAGGAAGGGAACGTAGAGGAGACTGGAGCGGTAGTGAAATGTAGTGGAAAATTACATGGAACCTCCCTAGCAGATAAAATAGCGTCTGAGGTCTTAAAGGCTTGTTTCCAAACAAACAGCCATCTAAGTGAGATGCCAAGTAAGTCCACAGGGAAGAAACACATCATGATTACTCACCAAAGGATTGTAAGTGATATGATCTGAAGTCAAAGGAGGGATTAGTATCAGAGTCTAAAGCGTGAGAATCTGGATTTCAGAAGGTGATGGATGACAATGGGAGCCCAAGATTCATTAGTGGGAACCTTAAGGTGACCAGACGTCCCGCTTTTGGCAGGACAGTCCCAATTTTTGGCGTTTTAAAAAAGTCCCGATTTTTGGAAAGAATGCATGACAAGCTAGGGAACGGTCTATTTGGTCCATATAGACCAAAGTTTTAATCAAGAATCCCCCCCCCTCCGGTCAATGGTGTCCCGCTTTAAATCTGGTCACCTTAAACTAGGTAGGAAATAAGACCCCAGTGAAGTTCCTCTAGCCACAATTGAGAGATAGGAAGGAAGGAAGTGGTTATTAAACAAAGTGCATTAGAGAGCTGAGTATAGAAGATCAAAGGCATAATCTGACTTGAACAGTTAACAGTTTGTCAGCAGATCCCCCCTAAGATGCTTGCTGGACCTGGTCTGGTCTCCAAAATGTTCTGTATGTTTGGTTTGGTTTTTGTTTGTTCATATTAGGGTGTATCTCAGAGGTGTTATGTCACTGGGGTCACTCTCTTGAATTGTGTTATATGCTTTTTCCCCTTTTTTGGTATATCAACTCAGGATTGATAAACCTATGGAGACAGTAGGGTTTTGGAGGGAGGAGTGTGCCGTGATGTCTGTAGGGTGAAAGGCAGGCGATATCAAGGAGTCCATGTAGAAGAAGAATGTTTGGGAATGGATTATAGTAGCAACTGCACAATTCTGCTGGACGTGACTGAACTATGGGATGATATTCAATCCCAATTAATGAAAAAAAAA